CCAAGTACCCTAAACACACATACATACCATACCATCCAAGTTAGGAACTCACCTGTGTGTATATGTAGGTGGGTGGTATGTGTGTGGACTGCTGAATATATATATGTCATCATGTGCATGATATATGAATTAGTGATTCATGTATGTGTATGGAGTATGTGAGTATTGACAACTGATTGTTGTCTAATTTTTGGTGTGTGTAGTGTGTAAGTGCTTGAATTGGTGATAGGGAAGTATGTTTGGATGTGTATGTGCCTGAGTTGGTTGTGCGTGCATGCATGCATATTTGCACACCTAATTGATTTGTGTGTTTGTATATGTGCAATTTTGTCACACTCTACTGTCTAACAGCACAATATTGAGATCCTGAGAGTTGGCCTTACCCCAAAGGGCAACAAAATCACCTCATTGTCTGCACCAGTCCCAGGTCTCAAACTGGACTTTCGGTCTGGCTGAGGCAGTGAAAATAATTGTTAGCTGATTGTTAGCACTAGCTCCAGACAGCCCTAGGTCCCAGAGCTACCCTCAACCCATTTCAGAATCTCTGGGAATGTGCTTGGGTAGCCCCAGGTCCTGAACCAGAATTAGGGCTGCCCATGCCCAATCCACTCAGCTGAGCATGAGGATCAGGCACAGGGCAGCCCTGGAGTTTGATACAGAGCCACTCCCTGCCTGGTCTGCAAGGCTGGGCTGGGGGCAGCCCCATAGTGGAATTCTATGCCCATGCCAAACAACATGCATCCTGCCATGTGTCAAGCTGTGTTCTCAAACCCAGGGCCTCATTCTGTCAGCACAGCTGCTCATCTTGACCAGCTACCCTGTAGCTTGTCACCCAGGCTGGTCAGGGCTGGCCTGAAGGCTCCATTAGGAGTTAACACTCTGCCCACTTGGTCACCAGAGTGGCCAACTTGGTGACCCTTCACTTCCCCCGCATCAACCCCTGTCCTGGAACAGGTCCAGGTAACAGGGCTCAGTCATATCCCCCAGATTGCTTTGCTGGTCCTTTTGGCTTCCTCCTTGACTCTACTCTGCTTTCTCTCAACTTCTTGGCCCAACCTACTCTCCAACTTCACTCTCTGTCTGATCTCCTGGTTTCTTGACTTGGCTTGTTCCTGGAGACTATTCATAGGCTGACCTTCTGGCTTCCTGACCCGGCTTGTTTCTGAATTCTACTCACTCATCCTGACCCTGTTCAGCATCTGGATCCTGAAGCAACCCCAGACCTCATTGCCCATGACCCGGAGAGACACCATACACATCTAGCATGGCAAGTCGCATGATTTTTGGGATGGGGCACAAACTTCCTCAGATTCCAACAGCACCATTATTTTAACATCTCCAAAGGGCCAAAGCCTCATCAGGCAGTGAAGGATAATAAGGGTGCAGACAGAAGTGACAATTTTTGCCCAATGTGGCCACAAAAAGCAGTTTATTGTTGTGACCAAACACAAGTACACATCTCCAAACATCTTCAAAAATGGTCAATTGAGTGAAATTCTGATCCCTCATTGCATGAGGTTACAGATAACAATGTTTCAAAAGGTAGTACCTTTGTAACTTGTGTCTGTAGAGCCTGTTTCTGTTTTTAGAATGGAAGGGGGGAAAGGGAGCAGAAGGAGTTCTGTCTGTGGGTTTTTCAGCCCCTCCTGAAGGGTAGGGCAGGTATATTAGAGGCCCCCCCAGGGTGGGGGAGTTCCAATGTAGTATGAATTAATTATTATGTTTAAATAATAATAGTATTGAACTGATAAACCTCTATGATTGTATGAACAACTAAAACTCAATTTTGTGTTTGTTCCCTGCTTGACATGAGTAAATTAACTTTGTGTGCCCTGTGTACATGAGTGTCTGTGTGAGAGGGTGAATGGTCAAAGAATGGTAACTATTTGCATGAAAACAGATTTAATTGATTGTGTAAGCAACAAGATGCCAATGTATGAGTTACCAGACAGCAAACTAACTTAGCTAATCAATGGAAGGCTGAAGAATTTGTCTGTGATCAGGTGCAAATAAGATAGTAAGAAGAAAGAATTTTGCATATCGTCATTTGAACTACACAAAGCTTGAAGGAATAAAACATAAAATTTCCCCTGTTTCTGGTAAGAAGCTGCATGAATAAATTGTCCACTTGTCTACACTTTAGCATCTGTCATGCTACATCCCAGCTGCTTGGTCAGCATTTAATAGCAGTACAATGTAGTGTTGTCCAAGTTGGCTCTAAGCAAGCTAGCTCAGTTACTCAAGCAACACAGCCATAGTAGAAGGGGCTCATTTGAAAGCTAAAAACCAAGTTAAATTCACTGATGCAAAGTTCTGTTCTGATGGCTAGACTGCTTCTGAAGTTATCACGGATACAGACTTAACACAGAATCATAGAGAAGTACAGCTGGAAAGGACCTCCAGAGGTCATTAAGTCCAACCCCCTGCCTAACATAGGATCGACTCTATCCAAAACATTCTATAGAAATCCATTGTCTAATTTCTTACCAGACCTACAGAGTCAACCCTGACAAAAGCCACAAAACATAACACCCTAACCTAGTAACATCCTGCTGCTGCAATGTTGTTAAAATACACTCAAGAGATCCAAGAAAGAGGACCATGCCCACTTCTACAGAAGACGACAAAAACTCCACAGTCCATACCAATCTAACCATGGGGTAAAATTCATTCCTGATGCTAAATATGGCAATCAGTCTGACCCTGAGCAGAGCAGCAAAATCCTCTAGCCAGAAAAACCCAGGTTTAAGTCCCAGCAAGCACATTAGCACACCCTGGTCACAATCCCCAACTTTGACTGCAGCCAATCCAATGGTTCAGAGGAACACTTAAAAAACAAACAAACAAACCATGATGTGTAGCAGCAAAAGAGGAAAAACAATCCTTCCTGGCCCTACATGTCAACCAATAAAGCCCATAAGCATGGGAGATACCCATAGTAGAGCATAGGCAGAGTTTCTTCTAAATCATCCCAGACCAATCCCTGTCCAACCTCTTGAATGGGAAATTCACATCTTCCTTAGTCTGTCTATTCCACTGCCTTACTGTTCTGCAGTGCAGATGTTTTTCCTGATATCCAGTCTAAACCTACTTTGCTGCAACGTCAATTCACTGGGCTACATGCTGTTCAATGCAGCAAGAGGGAAAAGGTGTTTTCCCTCTTCTTTATGGTATCCAATCTGAAGACTGTTGATGTGTCCCCTATGAAGTGCCTTTTCTGCAAGCTAAACATACCTAATTTCCTTCAACCTCTGCTCATATGATTTGCCTTCCAAGTCCTTTATCATTTTTGTCACCTGCCTCTGGACCCTCCCTAACTTCTTCACATCCTTTTAAAAATGTGAAGCCCCAAACTTCACACAATACTCTAGATGAAGTGCTGGGATCATGCACCGCACTGGAGTCTCTCTACTTTCACTGCTTCTAGAAGCATGCCCCCAGAATCTCTGGAGCACATATCTGGAAGTGGGGAAAGTCAGAATACCCCACTTGCAAAGATATGCCCACAGAAATCTCTGTGAACCTTGCACATAATACTCTGGATGAGGCCTGACCAGTGTTGACTAGAGGTACTATCACTTCCTGTGTCTTGTACCTAATGAATTCCAAGACTGCATTTCCCTTTTGTGCAGCTGCCTAACACTGCAGACTCGTATTGAGTCTATGATCTATCAGGACTCCCAGATCTTTTTCCACAGTGCTGCCATGCAGCCAGCTGTCACCCATTTTGTACTTTTTTATTTATTCTTCCCAAAGTTGTCACACCTTGTATTTTTCAAGACTGAACTCCATCCTGTTAAGTTCCAACCAAGATTTCTAATCTATTGAGATCCTTCTGAATTGCCCTCCAATCCTCCATGTTCAAAATCCTTCTTAGTTTTATGTCATCTGCAATCTTGCTCAAAAAAGCTTTTTATGTCAGTATCTGAATCATTAATAAACAGACTGAACAGCACTGGACCAGGGACAGACTTTTATGGGACTCCACACAAAACCTCCTGTCATTCTGACATGGATCCATTTATAATTACCCTTTCCTTGCACCTAGTGAGCCACCTGCCATTCTGCCTTATTGTAGTTTTGTCTAGACAACATTTCTCCAATTTGTTTATGAGACTGCCATGTGGGGCTTTGTCAAAAGCCTTGCTGAAGTCCAGATTTACTATATCCACAGCATTCCCTTCATCCACTCAACTTGTTAGTTTATCAGAAGAGATCAAGTTCATAGGATCATAGGAAAGTAGGACTGGAAGGGACCTTACAAAGTTATCTAATCCAGTCCCCTGCAGGATCATCCCTGAATAAACCACCTCAGCCAGATGTCTGTCTAATCTGCTCTTGAAAACTTCCAAGGATGGAGATTCCACATTTCCCTAGGTAGCCTGTTCCAATGTTTAATCACCCTCATACTTAGAAAACTCCTCCTAATCTCTTACCTAAATTTACTCTGCTGCCACTTGAGGACATTACTGTAGTCTTGTCCCCTACAGCCACAGAGAAAAAAACATCTCTCTATAATCATCCCTTAGGTATTTGAAAACTGTTATCAAATCCTCCCTTAGTTATTCTATCTCAAGCACAGGACTCTGCATTTGTCCTTGTTGATTCCCATCTGATTGACTGAGGACCATTTTTTCAGTCTATCCAGGTCATTCTGGAGCTGAACCCTGCCCTCCAGAGCACTGGTGTCCAAGGCTTTTCTCTGGTAGGCCAGATGGGCAGTGCCTGGTCCATCTGCAGACCAGATCTGGCTGGTGGCCCCAATCTAGCACCCAGGTCAAAGGTGGTGGGGCTCCATCCAGCTGTGCAGGGCGGGGTACAGGGGGCTGGCTGGCCCTGATTCAGACAGAATGGGGTGTGCCCCACCTCTGGCCCCATGGGGAGTAGGGGGCATGGCCATTTCATTGAAAGGTGCTTGGCCCAACCCCATAGGGAAGAGGGGGTGTGGCTCAACCACGATCCAGCTTGCAGGGAGAAGGGGGGTACGTGTTTCCTCCCAATCTTGGGAGGAGGTACAGCCCAGCTGTGATCCACTGTGTGGAGCTTGGAAATTTGGCAGCAGGGAGGAGTGGCAGTATTATCTTCCCCTTCTTCCCTGCCACCAAATTTTTCAACCCATTGCGAGCCCCATGAGCCAGATGCCAAAGCTGGGGCATAGGCCAGAAGTTGAGCACCCCTACTCCAAAATGTCCACAATTCCACCCAACTTGGTGTTGTCCACAAATCTGCAAGTATCCACACAATCCTATCATCAAAATCATTAATGAAGACATTAAATAATACCAGAACCAAGACAGAGCCCTGAGGAACCCCACTGGATACCTTCTCCCAACTTTACATTGAGCTATTGGTGATTCAACTAGTTGTTTGTCCACCTTACATTGCTTCCACCTAGCTTGTGTTTCCACCTAACTTGTTAAGAAGTGTCAAAAAACTTGCTACAATCAAAATATATCACATCCACTGCTCCCTCCTCATCCACTGAGCCTATCACTTTATAGAAGGAAATTAGTTTGGTCAGGCCTGACTTGCTCTTGGTAAATCCATGCTGGCTGTTCCTGATCATCTTGTTCTCCTCTAGCTGCTCCATAATTATTCCTTGAGAGCCTGCTCCATGATCTTGCTGGATATAGAAGTCAAGCTAACCAGTCTGTAGTTCCCTTGATCCTCCTTTTTTCCTTTCTTAAAGACGGGCACTATACATCAGTTTGTTTGACACAATTTGTTCTTAGTAAATCTAAGCTGGATGCTTGTGATCAGCATGTTATATAAAAATAAACTTGTAACAGCCAGTGTAAGAAATGTGCTGACAGATACCATTGGGAGTTATTACTACATGTAATGAAAACTCCAGCTAAGCCTGCTTTGAGTTAGAGCCATCAGCTTAAAGGTGCACAGATGCTTCCCTAAAAATCCAAATGGTTCTGGCAAATTATATATGAAGAGCTGTCAGTACTTCCTTCTCTCCTTCCAGAGCCAGGTTGCACTGAATGTTGATTTAACATTTACTTACAGGGTTTTTTAGAATGATTATCAGTGGGTTTCTCAGTTTGTTTCTTCTTCAAGTATGTCATTTTTTCAACTAAGTATAATAGACGACCTCTGATGGTTAAATCACTATTTCCATCCAGGGCTCCATCTTCATCTAGTTCAATTCCTGGAAATAATGAACATTGAATCATTAAGTGAATTAAACAAATTACAGCTATGCTCCTTGTCCAAATGTGCAAATATAATCAAACTGATGGGTCCTTTCTTGCTTTGTTAGCTAAGTGCACTACAAACAAACCAAAATTTGCTATTCCTGCAAATGCTCTTTTTGGCAGTACAGTTTAAAGGTTAGGGTTCAGATCTGGGGCTACAATGCCTGGCTCTGTTGTTTACATACTGGATAAATGCAAGTTAATCATCTATGGCCAGATTCACATAGGTATTTAGACACCCAGCTCCCTTAGCTTCCATGTAACTTTATTCTTGTTATTTTGAAAATAGGAAATCAGCCCCCCAGGTGATTTTTTATCTTAGCTGATATTTCAGTGCCTTCAAATGTTTAGATGAAAAACAATACCAAAGTGAAACTAATGATACTTTCTGATACTCTGTCAGTAAAAAATTGAATTGACCATTTTCATAAAGATGTGGTTCATGATATATTGAATTATAAAGAAATGAAACTGTATAGACACATATCTTATACTAATGTAAGACTTGTTTTTCATTTGTATTGTTCCAAATAAGTAATAATGAAACTGAAACCATCATTTTGTTTCAAGCCCATCATTAATATTGTTGCCTCACAACTCCATGAGTTTAGAGTAAAAAGGCCACTTTCATTTTATCTTGCTGGGATCCTATGATCCCTGCTGAATTCCTGCTCCTGGGCCATGGGGCTGGACTCGAACGTCCCCCAAGGTCCCTTCCAGCCCTAATGTCTATGAAATCTATTTCATTTTTTTAAATTCCATTTTAATCTGCGTTTTTTACATGAACTTCTCTTCTACAGCATATTTCTACCTCAGATCTGGTAATATCATTAAATCTTTTGTTCATGGGGAAATCCCTTTTTTTTTTTTTTTTTTTTTTTT